GTCCATATTGACTACGTCAAACATGATGGTCTCGGTGCGGACCCTTTCGCCTTCTTCGAAAGATACCGGGATAGCCTTCTTGCCCATGGCGTTTATTTTCTTCCACCAAAGCCAAACAACAAGTTCCCTACCGGCTCTAAGGTTCGCCTATCTAGGCCCATTAACTCGAAGGCTTTGATGAATAGAATGTCTACCGAGCTACTGGTGTCGATCAAGATGTTGTGCAATGTGAAAACTGTGACATTCGCCGTGGCGATGAAAGAGTCGGAATGAGGGTAGTCGGGTACATGGAAATCATTCTCATCGAAAGTGATTGGGACCAATGACCAGGCTGGCCGATTGAATGGCAGTCTTGGCGACACGGTGTGCACCCTTCACTCATAGTCTCTTCTGGCTCTTTTTGCTTTTGTGCTCCTAGTTGGACCCACCTGCAATGGCAAAAATGTGGCCACAAGACGGGAGTATGATGTTTACTGTTCGATTTTCGTGCATGTTTTCTAGCTTTGCTTGCTGCTGTTGACTTGATTGCTATTGATCTGGCTGTACCGGTGAGGACACCACTACTGACTGGAGCGGATATTGGGGCAACTGCTGATAGGGCTGGTACGCCTGATGTTGCCAAGCGAAGGGCGACTGAGCTTGGCCTTGCGAAAATGCTGGCAATTGTACTAGGCCGCACCATGCCGGATAGTGAGATTGGCTGCCATTATACTGGTTGTGCATGTTATCGATGCATGGGGTGTTGAGATAGATATGTTTTGGTGCTTCGCTGCTCTAGGAGGCTTCATCCTTTTCCTTGAGTTCTTTCGCCATCTTGTTGTACTTGCAATCTCTGGTTATATGCCCGGTATTCCCCTGTTACTGCACAATATGGTGATCTTTGGCCTCTCGCTCTTCCCCTGTTATTGCGTCCTCCCCTCGCGCCGCGTCCACCCCTGCCGCCGTGGGAGTTTGAGTCGAAAGGACGATTTGAGTTGAACTGCGTCTGGCTGTGCTGGGCCTACTCCGGCGCTGACTGACTCGATTCTCGAATAGCTCTTGGACTATTGCGGGTGGCTTTCTGGATAATTTGGCGGCGCATTGCCCTATCGCCAGCCCTTCAATTGCTGCTGCGATGACAGTTGCTTCCGGCACATTTGGCACTTGGCCTTTGACTTGGATGAATCTCTCGAGGTACTCGGATAGGGACTCATCATTTCGCTGGATGCAATTTAAGATATCTCTCATTGTTTTCGCACCAGGTTGGTAGCCTTCGAATGTTGCCATTAACTCTACTTTTAACTGCTGCCATGATTTGATTGATAGCGGCTTGAGCGATGTGTACCAGTCGTGAGCAATGTCCTCGACTGCCATTATGAGTGATTTCGCCATGGTTTGTGCATCCCCGCCAGCCGAAGATACTGTAGTTTCATAGCTTGCAATGAATTTCCTTGGGTTAATCTTCCCATCGAAAACCGGGATGCGTGGTTTGTACCCGATTGGCCATGGGTGCAGCTGCAACTCCCTCGCCAGCGGAGAGTTGGAGTCATACAATTCTAGGTCTCCCTCTTGGTCAGGTGCTTCGGGTATTATAATATTTCCGCCTAGCTGGACGATGTCTGCCGCTCCTGCCCTCTGCAATCTCTGAATTTCCCTGACCAATCTTTCCCTTTCGCATTTGGCCTGTCTGACTGCTCATGGAGTTTGCTCGGCCCTGCTTCTTGCCATGGCCTACTCTATCAGCTGGTCCCTTTCGTGCTGCAATCTGATGATATCTTACTGATACTGATCGAGCTTCCTTAGGTCTCTAGCCTGCTCGGTGATTTAGCCGTCTTCGTCTTCTTCTAGTACATTGTTTTTGTCTTGATCGAGCTAGACTTCATGAACTATGCCTTTGGGTGTCTCCTCTCGGCCGAGGGGAGGCACCGTGTTGTGTTCCGCTGCCTGGGGTGCTGGTGGTTCCGCCGTCGCCGCCGCTACCACTCCATCTCGCAGGGCTGTCTCTGTAGTTGCGACGAATGCTGCCTTGGATGGCTCCGCTCTATCTGCCGATGGCTTCGACGCATTGTTCTTCGGTGGCATGATAAGCTCGAGCAACAACCATTGTGGGCGCCAATGTTGTTCTAGGCCGTAACCTTAGAACCCCTGGTTGTCACCCAAACAAATACCGAAACCAAAAAGAACAAGCTGGCGAAAGGGCACTGCAAGTGACCCGGCTTGATTTCATCAAATGGAATTAGGGTTCCTCTCATCTCCCTCTACAACCCCCGCAGGGGCGCTATTTATACACTTCCATAGCACTTTACATGGACACATCTACCCCCGCAACTACCCTGATCCAGGGAAATATTCCATTTCGCTGAGGGCCGAGGGCACTCTGGTATTTTCCTTCTTCACCTCCCTTGGGCTCCAACCACCCTCCCGTAGGCTAGTGGTCCCGTCGGTCGGCTATAACCGCCCGGCTCACGTGTTGCCTCCTTCATAGCGACGAAAGGGCGGAGAGTTCCTGCAACATCAGAGAAAGTTGCTTCGTCAAAATGCTCAACCGACCCCATGTTTTCACCCGATCGCCAAACTTTCACCCGATTGGGCGAAAGCTTCGTCTCAACGAATCGGCTCTTGTGTCGTGAGAAGTCACCTATGATGACCGAGCACTTCCTTTCGCCCTCAATGGGATGCGAAAGGCATCGATCGCTAAACGATTCCCCTTTCGCCAGTAGGGGGAGCGAAAGCTGAGGGGTGTAGCCGAACACAGAGCTTATTAAGAAATAGATTATGGGAGTCATAAATAGTTCATAAGACCATTATTCGTTATTATTGACAAAAATAGCAACATCATCAGTCTCATGATCACTTAAACTATCTGTGTATCTTAAGTGGGCTAGAATATTTTATTATTGCATACCATACTATTATGGTCGCTACAAAGAATTGCGCACCGCTATAGCAGCCTGCTAACCCCAATAACGTCCGTTAAGTTCTAACTTGCTAAATTCAGTCCGCCACGTCACAGGTAGCTGTACGAGACCGCTACCGCTACTATGGCTACCATAGCGGCCGCTACGGCCACTATTTAGTACCTTGGACCTTGAGTGGTCATGTAATGTGTGTGAGCGAGCCCATGGCCGAAGGAGATAAGTAGGATGGTGTGAGTGGGATGTAACAACTTTGAACCACACAATTCTAAACTCTGAATCTCCCCAACCGGACCTCTGCGGTTCCTTATCTCACTCTTCCTTTGTTCTTCTCCTTCCCTACGCCTTCTTCCTTAGCGGCGGTCATTTGGTGCTAAGAGGATCGGCCCTATACATGGCCAAACCGGCCGCCGCCACGGCACGGCGGACGGGGCACGCAAGCGGCTGCCGCCGTGCGTCGTGCAGTGCGTAGTCTTTGCTGTCTTTTACATCTGGCCCGAACACGACACTATAGGCTATTAGTCGTGCTTGTGTCGTGGTGCTAGGCACGGCAGCCCGCGTGTGCCCGTGCCGACCCGCAGTCGCGCCTCGCGCCCGACGCCGTCGCGCCACCGCTACGCTGCCATCCCGCCCCACCTCGCCGAGTCCGTCGCGCCACCGTGCCGCCGCGTCGTCGCTTTCCAGATTGCCCGTGCTGCCGCGGCGAGCTCGCCACATCGCTGCACGGCAGGAGTAGACGGGAGGGCGCCCACGGCACGCGCAGATGCGCCCCGGCCGAGTGCCGTCGCCACGAGGACGTCAAGCGGAGGGAACGCCAGACAAGGAGGATGGAGGTGGAGTGAATGGGGAAGATGGAAGTGGAGTGGCCGGGAAGAAGAGAGTGACGACGGGAGCCAAAGCCGAGCGAGCGTAAAACGGCCGAGAGCGGGAATGGTTTACGGGGGAGCTAGGGTTAGGAACTTAGGATCTTCTATATATATACTGCATCCAACGGTTATAACACATCAGAGGTGATCCAATGGCTAGAAAATATCGAGCCACATCGTGCCGGCCCATTTTCCGTGCTGTGCCTGGGCCAGGACTACGGGCCGCCATAGCACCCTGGCACGGCACTACGACCGAGCCGTGCTAGGCACGGGCACTATAGGAGCCGGGCCAGACCGTGCTTGGGCCGTGCTTTCTAGTGTCGTGCCCGGGCCAGCCCAGCGTGCCTAGCCCAGCTGGCCAAGAGCCTGCGCCCTGCGGGGCAGGTTCCCGTGACGGGATGACAGCGGAGGGTGCTGATAAGCGCGGCGATGCCGCTGGGGTGGTGTGGTCTTGATTCTTGAACTGTAGTAATAACAACTACTAGTACTGTAGTAGCGCAGCAGCACCACTGCGTGCCACCAGCAGAGCAGCGCAGTGCGCGCATGAAAAAAAATTATATGCGGCGGTGTCGCACGGAAGGCTGGTGTGCAGAGTCAGTGCGACACCGCCCGAAATACACATATCCACCACCGTGCCGACAAACAGGCCCACGTGCTGGTAAATGGGCCCACAAGAAGAAGTTTTCCGCAGTGCAGAAACCCGTGCCGCACGGCAGCGTTCTATGCGCTCGTACCGCATAGAATTTTTTTTTCCGTGCGTGCAGGAAGCAGCAACACAGTGGGTCGCTATAGTAGCACAGTGAAGAGCACAGAACAGGGAAGAGCAACGAATGATTCTAGATACTCCCTGCGTCCCTAAATAACCGTCGTTGGTATACGTGCCACAAGTTTGACTTAATTTATAAAAATATGTGCAATATTTATATCTTCAAATAAATTTATTAAAAAAACTAGATTCAAAGATCTTTCTAATGATACTAATTACGCACCATAAATATTAATATTTTTTAATATATGTTTAATCAAAGTTATTTCTGGGGATGCGAAAAGGACAGATATTTAGAGATTAGTCATGTATCGAAACAGCATTGGCTAATTTAGTTATCTGTTTGACACTTAAAAGTCGTGGGCATCTCCAACAAGTTGTAAACATGGTATACCGTGTAGCAGCTAGGTTGCCCTGAGCGGAACGGGCCGGGGTTGCGTCGCATCGCACTCGCACCACGACGGCCTCTGCTTTTGTGGGAATCAATCAATCGGCCCCGGCCCGGATCGCGCGAGATCTTTGGCCTGCGTTCGTGGGGGCTAGCTGGCTGCTGGATGCATCGATCGCTGGCGTGCGCCGGACGTGATCCCCTATACGTGTCACGCCGAGCGGCGGACGACGGAGAGAGCCAAGCGTTGCGCGCGTCCAGCCCAGCCGCCGCGTGGACGCCGCACGTCGGCGGTTCACTTCATTCATTCTCCGCGTCGTGCACGATATTTTCGGGGGCCCGCCGCGGGATGCAGTGTCAACTGTCAAACCGTCTTCTGGACTTCGTTCGGATTGCATGGTTCTGAAGAAATTTGAATGGTTTGGAGAAATTTTAAGAAATCTATATGAAGAAAATATTGTTTCGAATAAAAAAAAATATGAAAAGTCGGATTTAAAGACATGCGAACGGAGCCGAAGTCTGAAGTGCGAGCCAGAGGGCGACCGCGTACGCCTGGTGCTAGAGCCGTCTGCTGATCGGGTGGCGCGGGCGGCGACGCTCGGGGAATCGTGGATCGGATGTACTACGGTCATGTTCCCAAGAAGACACTCGTTGACATCGTTCTACTACACGGGACGGGAGGCAGGCAGGATTGGCACGACCGTGCATTTTGACTTTGATGATACACTGATACTCCTGCGTCGACTTCTCGATCGACATCGTCTTCGT